TTGGCGCCCGAACTAAGTGATAACAATCGTGTTTTCTTAAAAAGTGAAATTCGATTGCTTGACTATAATTGTGAGACTTTAAATACGGTGGTGAAGTGAAAGACTTTTAAGTGTTTGTGATTATAGCAACACTGTCGCATAGTGATTTTCGTGCGACCAAGCCTTTCAACGGATTGTTTCTGCGATGTTTAACTCATTTAAACGTCTGAAGAAGAGACCAAGAAGACCTTCATCTACTAATTTCTGCAGCCGAAAACTATGAGAATATTCATGTTTTGTCTGGCGCGACACGCAAGATCATTACACACACTTAGCCATCATATTAATTCAATACCAACGCCGACTCATGATATGATGACACACACACTTAGAGACTCGTTACATCAGCCGTGTACTCACAATGCTTCTCATCACTCCTGTCCCTGCAATCGTCCCAGCCGTCGCATTCCCAATGCTTGGGGATGCATCTGCCGTCGCCGCAGACGAAGTGGTCACCGGTGCAGCCTGCAATAAATCAAGGAAGCCGTGAATGTCGGGCTAACTAATTGATAAATAACAAAATTTATACAGTGAGGCCGGGTTTCCTGAACGCGAGGCGAGAAGAATATGTAGAGGTAAGAATATGACGTATGTGTTGTTTATAACATCGCATAAGAAGTGATGGAAAAGTCTCAATAGGCAATGGGTTCAGCGGGCCCATATTTCCTGTGGAAAGAAAATCTAGGCCCTAGAAGAAGTTAAGCTCAACAGCTCGAGTTTAGTCACAGCATGCTCGCAAAACATTGAAAATAATTCGATAGTGAAACCTTAAAATTGAACGCAGTCGAGTAATAATTTATTAAAATTCGAGATATCAATTGAATTTTTGGAGCCGAAACAAATCCTCATATTAACTCGAAATAAAAGACAAAAGAATTGCGCGGTAGTGTTTGACGCATCAGGCAACTTACAGTCGCGCTCGTCGTTGGCGTCGCCACAGATGTTGCCTTCGTCGCACAGCCACGTCTCGTTTATGCAGCGGTCGTTGGCGCACTTGGACTGCTCAGAGCGGCACACACCTGCAATCACAAGCAACGCGGTAAAAAATATTCAGATCTGAAACCAGATCAGCCGCTATAATTTTTTTACTTTTTTTTCTTTTTCTCTCTTCTTCTTGCCACATATTTCCTACTACACACAGCAATCCCCCAATTGTGGGTTTTTCCTGTGTGTATCATTAGTGTTTAAAACAATCTTGCATTAGTTTTACCTAGCCAAATAAATCTGACCTAACCTTACCGAAGTAAACACAGCCTGAAACGTCCAAACCTAAACTGACCTAACCTGTCCTAACCTAATCTCACCTTACCTAACCATACCTAACCCAACCCAACGTAACTTAACCTAACCTAACCTATCCTAGCCTAACCTTGCCTGAACTAACTTTGCCTTGCCAAACCTAATCAAACCTAACCACCCTTTGTCATGGTCGCCATATAGGAACTTGTTCCTGACTTGAACCTAACCTCAGCCAATGACGTATATTTTACGACGTGTTTAATTTCCTACCTATTCTATTTTAATACCGTGCATGATTGTGGCCGGAGTTCGCATTTCCAACACTCACTGAACGTGTTGGAAATGTGAACTCCGGTCTAAATACTCCAAACTTCAACAACCTAGGTGTCGCTTTTCCTCTATCAAAGTAAACATTGCAAAAAGTTTAAATACTTAGTTGATTGTTGCAAAAAACACAGCTTCAAAACTTCTTAAGGTACCAGTTTCTCAACTTACTAGTCGAATTTACGAGCGCTGTCTACTCCTGCACGCCGGTGGTCATCGTACGTCGTAATAACGGCTTGAGCGAAATTCTTGTTGAGGTCGTGTTTGACGGCAGATATCGGGTGAACGTCAGGGCCCCGAGCTCAACACTCGGGCCATTAAAAGGTAATATTTGTTTTCTTTTCATTGTTATTCGCATAAATTTTCTTCAATCCTGGTTGTTATCGAGTAAAAAGACCTTGAAAAAGCCAAAAATCGCAGTTCGGGCACGCAGGACAATTACATGGCACGGAGCAGTATTAATGTTTCACGAAAACCGTTTTCTATAGAACTTTCGAGATTTTTTCTTTCGCATTATTAATTTTAAAGAGCTGAAGCCGGTAACCATGTAAGAATTATGTCTTTAAGTTAAAATTAAGTTGCCTAAATAATTGCTCAAAAAGCGAAAAAATCAAATTTTTGGTCTAATTTTAATAAAGTTTCTTATAGGAATAATTTTTTTAAAATAAGTGATATACACAGCAATTAGCGGTATTTTAGCCTCTGTTGATAGCAACTTTCAGAAAGCTTCCAAAAAATACGCAGCTCGCACAATAATCTTAAGAGTAAAGACGTTGAACACCTTCAGGCAAGTTCTCCAAATTACGCGATTTCGACGAAAATTTGGTCAATTCTTGCCCTCTTTGAAAAATCATATCTCGAGTTATATAAAAGCTAGGATCTTGCAACAAGGTCCAAATTAAAGGCAAAGACATATGCTTTATTATTAATGTTGTTGAAAAATCTAAAAAAAATTCCGCAGAGTTGTGAAGAAAAAAGTGAAAAATTTTGTAAAAAGTTGATCAAAGTTTGGCTCACAACTTTGTGAGTTTTCATTTTTTCGTAAATCTGTAGTATCACATAGTGTATCTCGTCAAGACGCTTCGAGATTATGTCGTCAAAATTTCAAAAATCCTTACGGTTTGACCGTAAGAGTTGACAAACCGCCGAAAAATGGCCCAAAAAATTTCATGGTTAACAATGACCCCAAATTTGGGTATGAAGTTTTGACACGACAAAAAATCGTTCGAAATCCCAAACACACTCCAATCTTTTACCTTTCTTTTGAAAGCAAGGGCATTGATCTGAGTTTACGACTTTTTGAGCTGTGATCGTTTCCGCAACCTCATTTTAGGTAATTTATTGACTAAATTTCCCCCTTTTCTGGGGATTATGGGAGGAAGGAGTAGAAATTTCGGAAATCCGGCAAGAAGGTTTGGTACACAAAATATGCGTACGGGTATGTGTCAATTTTCATGAGATTCTATCCTGTGAGCTCCTGGGAAAAAAGGCTCGAGTAAAATCTTTGACCTCAAACCCCCCTGTACGTGATTATATAGCAGCAGCATATCAATGGTGGAGAGTATAAGTATAGCGTCCGCTTCGCTGGTTGTAGGCACACAGAAAGTGAGCCGCTCCTGCCGAGCCAGTTATGGGGAGAAAGCAAAGCTCAGAGCAATGTGATGCCAGTTATTTGAATTCAATCCATACTAACCGCAACGAACCAAACCTGGAGACTCAGACTCACGTGCGCATGCAGAAGCTTCGGGTGCCGCGGCTGCCAGGAGCAGCAGCAGCCTGCAGCAGCTGCTCGTGCCCTGCAGAGCAACAAGAGCTGTGAGTGACGTCGCCTGATAAGCGCTGGTGTTTGCTAACATTCTTGCTATCACAACTGCGAGCATAAAATTAACCTCTAACAATGATTAACATGATCCCAGATGACTTCATGGCTGCAGAGCAGCGTCGAGGGCGCCCATTGAACGCTTGCATTGTTGTGCTCATAAGTAAATATCAGTGAAGGATGTGCCCTGTTATCGAACTGAATATTCATATTGTCGATAACTCGCTACCCAATGAATGACCTTCATGACGTTACTATTAATGCAATAAATGACCTTGACCGAACTAGTGACGCAATAAGTGACCATATGCAGTGATGCAACTAGTAATGCAATAAGTGGTTGCCGTGATTATTCACAGAACAGTGAAGTGCATATTTCTTCACGACTGACAGAATGAAAGTGACGAGTATCGGATGATCAATTAAACAGGCTCCTCTAAATGAAAATGCAAGAAAAATCGAAAGACAAAAACATCAATGAAAAAGAATGAGTACAAATTTAGCAGAACATATATAAGAAATAACTTTTTGTACGATTGCAAAAAAATAACGTGGTACAAAAGCAAAATGGCAGTATAAATAATTTGTGACGCATGTGACGCGGTTACATTGCATCCGCTTGTGGAACTCGTTTAAACTGAAGCAGATAAGCAATAAGTTACACGACAAGAAGGAAGTTTAATAACATTGAAACTTGAAAAAATTAAAATCAATATTACAATAAGATTTAAGGTAGATGCCTTGACTGATCATTTGAGGTTACGATTACGCTCTATTGTGCTAAGACATTTATTCTACCTCGGGAAGTTCTATTTCATGGCGCTGCCTGACAGCTTTGCGACAATCCCATCCGCCCATTGCGGTACATCGCTTCCGTGCATGGCTTATGTGATATAAAAGCAAAGCCTCATGATTTTACCCATTACCACATGAGCCCTCAGTAGAGTGCTTGAGAGTATCAGCCCACTCGGCTGCCTGGGATATGAACCATGCACATTTTTTGAACCATAAAGAAAAGGGCAAACATATTATTGCGAATACTCTGGAGATATTCTCATCTACTAGTGTTATTTTATTGCAGAACAGGAAGCTCTCGTGTTTGTTGCTCGCTCGAATTCGTAAAACTAGAAAATAGCGATAAAAATCCGGACTTACAAGGAGACCGAGTGAGGAAATTCAAGAATCTCCAGCCCCAAAACCCCGATACAGCAGTTGGCTGGTCTGTGTAATGCAGGGTTGTACAGCAGTTAGCTGGGCTGTGTAATGCAGGGCTGTACATCTGGGCTGTGTAATGCAGGGTTGTACAGCAGTTAGCTGGTCTGTGTAATGCAGGGTTGTACAGCAGTTATCTGGGCTGTGTATTGCAGGGTTGTACAGCCGTTATCTGGGCTGTGTAATGCAGGGTTGTACAGCAGTTAGCTGGGCTGTGTAATGCAGGGCTGTCTTGTCTAAAAAGGAACGATTTTTAAGAGAACCAGCAAAAAAATTGCCAGAATATTCTTCTTAGGGAATATTCTTAGTGAGCATTGTGACTCTGAAGTCACTCAAGGCCTTTCAATGAAGAGAGAAAACATCCATCGGAGATGAGCAGAAAACAAAATGTCTTAGTATTAATGCCGAAATAATACTGCACCTTAAATTAAAAAAATATAAATATGGATGCACGAATAAAACACAAGTATTTTTTCGGTGAGAACATTAGTATTTTCATGTATAGAGAAACTTTTCAACAAATTTTATAACCCCATTTATAAAATGATGTTTTCATATAGAGAAGAGCTTTTTTACCGATTTTATAACCTGAAAAAGTAAATATTTGCATAACAAAAGTGTTACCTAGTTAAGTTCTTTATGAAAAATAAGTTATTTTCGGATCGTTTACTAATTAAATGATAAAAAATCGGTTGATTATTGATCACAGCATGGACCCCCTTACCTTCATAGCGCCGATTGGGGGCTCGTGATGACGCACGAGCTGACTCCAGCTGGATGAATTAGCGCTGATAATTAGAAAATTATGTACTGATAAACTAAATGTTGAACAATTTTGTGCTATAAACAGAATTAAACGGATTCTGAAAAAAGTTTACGTATCAGACAAGCCATGCCTCGTGAAGGCCCGAGTAACACTGAGCAAACACAACACCCGCGAGACGGCGTGACAGACGCGTCCCAAGCACACGCCAGGTCATCTACCAGCCAACTGTAACTCAAACTACCTGCAGTCTACAGTCAGCCGACTGTAACTTTGACTACCTGCAGAGCTGGGCAGCGCTACTTTGAAATGTAGCGGCGCTACCGCTACATGCTCTAAATGTAGCGGGCGCTACCGCTACCGCTGCACCCACTAGATTGTAGCGAGCGCTACCGCTACCGCTACAGTAAAATGTAGCGCCGCTACATTAGCCGCTACAATAGCCGAAATTATTGGAAATCTCTAAATATTTATTGTTCTGCTATTGGGATTTACTCATAAACATTTATTGATAATGAAACATTTTCAAAACCTATCAATGCAACTTTATTGCAATTAACCTAACCGAACTAGTACGAGTTAGTTACAGTAAATAAAAGTTACAGTTGTTTTTATATTTTACCTTCCCTACATGGATGTGTACTTTAATCTACTAATCTAAAAAAATTTCCACATATACATATAAAAATCAGTCTTTTATTTGCATATGTATATGTGGATTTTTTTTAGATTGGTAGATCAAAGTTGACATCCATGTAGGGAAGGTGAAACATAAAAATAACTGTTAGCAAACTGAAACATGAAAAAATACCTGTAAGTGGTAACTGGCAACAAATTAACAAGTAACAATAATCTATAAATGTAGCGGTAGCGCTGTAGCGGCAAAAGCTCGTCTCGCTACTTAAATATGTAGCGGGCGCTACCGCTACCGCTACATTGCCTTAAATGTAGCGCCGCTACCGCTACCGCTACTGAATGTGTAGCGGCCGCTACATGTAACGCGCTACTGTCCACGCTATTTTCTTCCAACATTTGTATGCTTGAAGAACCTGGTAAATTTGGATTCTCCCATAGTTGCTTAGAAACTCCCATCGCAGCACAATCAGCTGTCATGTTGACGTGTGTCGATGACTCTGAAACAACTATCATTATTCCCTATAAATTTGAAACCCTTCTTCTTTGTGGTGAAAGTATTTTCTCATATAACAATAAATTAACAAATAAATTAGAGATTACCCTAATTTTTTTCAGCGTGGGACTCTGCAGCTTAGCAAGTAATTTTGCATTAGCTTTATTATGCTCATGGTTATGCTTCTTTAAACTCAGCTTAATGAACGACCTTCCGTTAATGATAAGTAAATTCATTATCAAAAAGCCGCTTGAAGTAAGAATATTATGCTAAGTAAATTACAGAAGCCAACGTCAATAAGATGCGTGATCAAATTACGAGACTTTGATAGACGATTAATAGAAAACGCGTAATAATTGCAACAACATTAGCAAAAATCGAACTACCCGTCATCGACGCATGTTATACAGCAGCGTTTCGTGATGCAGCGCCAGACGGAAATGCGACGGCGTTTGGCTGATGATGCATCAATGCATCAATCTAGTTTCATTCTCGGGCTCTCAGCTGCTTGCTGCTTAAAGTTTATTTTTTGTCAAGCATTAAAGTGAAGTTATCCGTGATCAAAATATTGAATAAGCACTTTATCTGAATGCTTATTGTGCTGTTTGTTATGTTTTCGCGTGCAGAGAATAGATTCAAGTTCCGTTCCTTACCTCACAAAGTAACCACATAATAGATTTCATTTGCTTACAAACACTTGATGGAAGATTTGTCTCGTTGTCAGCCCAGTAGAAGTGTTGCTCAGTGAAAACGTTGCAAATGCTAATTTGTAGCTTAATATCATATACCACGTATCTACATTTGTTTGCATTGATGCCGTTAACTCTTCAGCGTGGTTTGCTACGCTTAACTTTAACACGACCTTCCAGTCAGCTGAGTAACGACGCAGACAAGCAGACCCATGCCGACCCATTGAGGCTCCCCCGTATCATGGATGCAGCGAATCATGGATGCAGCGTATCATGGATGCAGCGTATCATTATCGTGGATGCAGCGTATCATGGATGCAGCGTATCATGGATGCAGCATATCATGGATGCAGCGTATCATGGATGCAGCATATCATGGATCCAGCGTATCATGGATGCAGCGTATCGTGGATGCAGCGTATCATGGATGCAGAGTATCATGGATACAGCGTACCATGTGTAAGTAGCTTGCAGGACCACGAAGGCAAGCATTGCTCAAGCTGGCATGATTGTACCGCGTGGTACATCACGCTTGACATTCTTACACAGAAGCTCCTGTTTTGCGATTTCGATCATCAAAATTCAGTACATTTTTTAAGCGGCAGGATCAGCATGTTTTGGTAAGGACGTTTCATCAGGTCATGTATATTAGTAAATAATTTGTAACGAATCTCTGTGGAAACCACCAAGGAAACTAATATTTCTTCGAGAACGGTCTGCAGAAGCGGGGTGACTAACAGACTATTTTTTAAAACATCTATTGTCATAACCGTCCGAATAAATGGTATCATATTGGTTCAGTAAGTAAAGAAAGGGCATATGTGATATGACGTTTGCTACGTCACTAACTTGCTGGACCCAATATTTGATTCTATCTGACTTACAAATATTCGCGCTCCAGAAATCATGTGGTTTATTATTAAAATACCGCTTCGGTGTTTATGCCAGGTTGCTGCGTCTTGAGTACCAGGCGAAAACTTACATTAACCTTACAAGCCAGCAATTTCGAAGTAAATGTTATTAATCTGAGGTGTGTCGCTAATGAGGTTGCTTCCACTACTGTTATATAGCAGCATAACCGAATACAGCAATTAAAGAAGTATTTTACGCTGTATTCACTTGAAATAGTTTTCTGCGCTCGTGCCAAAATAAATAATTAGTAATTGGTTAGACAAATACAGTA